TTTTCGGGCCGCTGCCTTCACGACATGTTCCATCTTTGGGTCACTGCCTTACCGGTATACCCCTTTTTCGGGCCGCTGTCATCATGACATGCCCATTCCTTCGGATCACTGTCTTACCGACATACCCTCTTTTCATGCCTCTGTTATTACGGCATGTCCATTCTTACGAGTCACTGTCTTCATGACATACTTTTTGTCACTACTTATATGTTTTGATTTGCTTGCATTAGCATTTGCAATTGAATGTTTGCATAGATAGTGAGACATACCCGTTAGGAGAGTGACTCACGTGTTGGTCGCGAAGCCGTAACGAGCATTGCTTGCTGGGTCAATCTCGATGAGCAATGCGAGTTGTCATTGGGACTGACATGAGTATGACTGTGCTAAGAATCCAATGAATCTAACTGGTGTGATCCCCTTTCGTGACACTCTTTAGATTCTTTGGATCCTTAGGATGGGGCCAGTAAAGTAACCCCGTCAAAGTCATACCATACCCAGACTTACCCCGCACTTAGATACTAGGTTGATGCACTTTTCGTTAGATGGTGTGCTAGGCTAAGACTTAGGGAGCTAGGTAGTTTTTTTGATACTTGGCTATTGTTCTTTGTTGGATTGTTTGATATTGTGCTTATGATGTGACTGCATGTTGCATATATATGGTAGTGTGTTAATGCGTTCTAGTGCATGGAGCCATGCCTATTTTTATACACACACAGGTATCGTTACGGGGGGGAGCAAGTAATGATTTCTTACCATTTTGCTTGTAGGTGCTATTAGCTCCCCCCACTTTTAAGGCAAGACTCATGATACATTATGTGCATGTGAGTTTCCATGCAAGATTGAGTCTTTTACTTTTCTCTATATATTTTTAGAGTCTAGGAGAGTCCTGTAGTAGAAATAAGGTACGAACACGGGTTCCGAGACGTTAGCACGGGAACCACGTGGAGGGGACCAAGAGCAGATGCTCGTGCCCCGTATCTTAATTATGTATTTTGTATTGATGTATAGAATTAGGACCGGGCATGTATATGCGGAGTCCGGCCGCATTTTTTTTTCTTTTCTGGGATATGTTGCCGAATCAGCGGCACCGGCCTGTTTATTATTTTTTATTTGGCTTATTTTATCTTTTGCATCATTTTGCATGTCTGCATTTGCATGTGTCTTATTTGCTTCTTTCTGTGATTTATCTGGGATTTCACGATATAACATAGGCTCTTTAAGATTTAAATTCCTAAAATTTTATATCTATAAAATCCTAAATAAAATATTCAATATAATTAAAATTTAAGATTAAAATATTCAGGATCTAAAAATTATAACTTTTACTTTCCTGTATATATTAATAGTGTCTCCACAATACTTATGATCGCTCTAAGATAGCTGCATTCATGTTTACATGTCACGAGGAGGAGTCCCCGTACTTTTCCAACCTGACTGACCCAACATACCTTATAAATGGTTGTCTAGTGCGCCTAGCGTGTTAGAAGGCTTCCTGACCCAGATAGGGTATAAATTCTTTTGTTTGGAGCGTTTCCAGCTTCGTAGCTGAACCTTCACTTCTTTTTCTTTACTGAGGCATCCTTGATATTTCAGCAGGTATAAGTCCCACCTCTTGGCGCTCCAGCTTGTAGTCATAGGATAGAGTTTATTTCCTCTAACCTTAGGGCTACCGAGATCCCCCATTGACAATGCAATTCACGGATTGCTGACCGTGGATTTCAGAACATGTTGGGTCGACTACATTCTACTTAGGGTCCTAGTAGTTGTGCATGACGGGTCCGTGGTACCCCGACTCAGTTACATCTACCTTTTAGGATCACTCTACCTTCCTTTTTTGTTGAGCCCCTTTGAGCCCTGTCGTTCTTTGACCTCGTTGATATCACCTTGACGGCCCGATGCCGATGAGCTGCCGCCCATTTGGGATACGACGATTTGTCCTCAGCCTTTTGACCCGGACGTGTTTTGACGTATTAAGATATCCCCGTCAAGATGATTTAAGTTATTCTGTGGGCCTCATCTGCCGATGAGCTGCTACCCATTTCGGGATGTGAGAGACTCATTCTCTGTCCGATTGCTTAGTTCCGATTGCTTAGTATGAGTTTTGAAGCATTGGGACTGTTCTCACACGGAATAACCTTCATTTGATTGTCTATACCCCAGGTTTATGATAATATGAAACGAAACTCCTTTTATCGAGAGTATTCTTGAGTATCCCCCAAGATGTAATTAACTAGTAGGAACACGTTCCTCTGGGAGTGTTTTTGACCCCAGAACAGGTACATACACCTGACTCTCTGGTTATGGGTAGTCTATGTAGATACTTCTTTCATGAATATTGGTTTAAAGTGTCTCCGTCCGATCTTATTTGGGCGGATATTCTTAACTTATCCTTGCGAGGTTTATCGCACGTAGACTCTCCACGCGTTTGTTTCTCTTGTTTGTCTCTTTGTTGTATGTCCCTTTTTATTTGATTCCTCTCCTCTTCGAATCATTTATATGGTTCGGGAGAGATTTATTCGAATGAGAGAAGTATACGACGATTGACAAGCTGGCGACTCCTATTAAAATAAAAAGAGAAAAATGAACGGAAACAGTAAAATAAATAAAATAAATTATAAAATTATAAGATTTGCTTATTTGACTGGAAAATACATATAGAAATAATTTGTTTGGTTGTGCAATAAAGCTACCAGCTTTTTAACTTAAACAGCAATTTAAAATTTGAAGAATTTAGTAGAATTTTGAATTGTGATTACCATTTAATCAACCATGATCTATATATTTATATTCAACGAATTCAGATTTTCCCAACCACTGTTAAGGAATCAAGTGAAGCTGGGTGAGATCAATTTCTAGCTACGCAAACTCTCTACAATAAGCTCCAAAACCCCTCCTCCACCAGTTTGAATCAAAGAATTTGTAAAGTTGAGTAATAGCACTTCAAACCAACTTAGCTAATACCATTTCATCCCTAAACTAAACTCCTGATCGCAAGATCTAAGGGTTTCACAATGCACTTTCCTGTTAGACCATGCAGAACACCAGCAACTATAAATGAAAACGAGCAGCTATGTGTCAAAAACTAAGTCCGAACTCTCCAATTCTAAACATAGATAAATGTTCTCATCTTTTTTCTTCCAAATTCAACACGCGCACTAAAGCCCGATTATATCAAAGAGGGCCTAAAAACTGTCTCTGGTCTTAAAAATTTCACCTTCTTCTCTTCCTTGACTCCAATGGACAAAAGGTGGCAAAAGAAGGAAATAAAATGGTGGTAACTAGAAGCAAAGAAGATCACTTTGACAACATGCCATAAAACTAAGATTTCAAAGAATATCACAATGGTAAAAAAAATGCAGTGTGGAGACTAATAACCCTGCAAAAGCTTGTAATCATGGAACACAGGCAATACATTAGGCGGGAATGTGGTTGGCGATCCAGAAAAGAAGCATGATGAAGACAAAAAACAAGAATGAGAATGTCACACCAGGAAAAACAGGGTTAGAGGCGAAAATGCAATTGGACTTCGAACAATTTCAGAGAAATTGGAATTTACAGAAATTAAAATTTTTGAAACATTGACAAATGCTTTAAAAAGTTTGCATTTAATTTACTTCATATCAAACAAACCCATATATTCATTTTATTTTACATTCCTAATAATAGCAGCCAAACAACTGCTAAGAATAGAAGAAAAACTGATAATTTTCAACGTATAAAAAGTATGTCGTCTTAATTGTTTTACTTACGTTAAAATTAGTGATTATTTTATAGGTCTTTTAACACAGTTTGATGCAAATATACACATATATCACAATAAGTTGAGAAAACTATTTTAAAATTGATTTTTATACAATCGGTCACTAATTAGTTATATAACAAATAAACAAAATTATATGTTAAATTGGTTTTATACTTTAGTTCACTAATCGTACAAAATTAATTTCCTAATTCAAGTTGGTTGTAATTATATGACCTCAGTCTTTACAATTATTGAGATTAGCTTTGTTAGCGGTAAGCTAGAATGATCTTTAACAGAATAGCCTGTAATTCTAGTTTGATAATTCGCTGTTTCTTTTAGATAACAAGCAATTCTATTTATAAAGTGGTTTTTTTATACTTACCCAAGTAGTTATCTCTCTAATGCATTGCTATTACATAAATAAAGATTGCAATATAGAAAGTATTTATTAGTATAAGTTGTAATATTGCGTTTTTGCATGAGAAGTCCTTTCTTTGGTTGAATAAATGGCTATAATCTTCTGAAGCTAATGCTTTATACATCAGTAATGCTACCAGACTACATAAGTTGATTATGGGGACAGCTAGAGGAGCATCTTTAAGATATAAACTAAAGACAATCCCAAACAAAAAGAAAATCTATCAAAATCAAGAAATTCACCATGTTTCTCCCAAACCATAAGAGTTCTGCAAGGACAATAACAATGTTTCTATAACTATTTCAAGCTTTCAAGAACAAAATGTAAAAGAAAAAAGATCTCCTTATAGAACATGCCATGGCTGAATGTGAAAAAGATAAAAAAAATACAAGGTTAATGAAATGGTCTTCATTTACGTAAAGTGTAATCTCACAAACTAATGTTCACTTTGTTTCTAAAATAATAGGGAAATTTACATACCTAGCACAACATTTGTTTTGGGAAAAAACTAGCACAACATTTTTATGTATTTACCAATCTCACACCTGAGCTTTCATAATTACATACATAAGAGTTTGGTGCTTTAAGACAATGCATTAAAAGATGCATTTCACTTTTAAAAAGTGGTATTAGCGCTATCTCTTATGTGATATTAAAGATTTTGAGTGTTATGCGCGAAAATTTAGTTAAAAACATCAAAATTGCATGCCATGTATGTAAATGCTCTGTGATAGCAATATAGCAACTACCATTAAAACATTCAGGTGACCAATGAAGCATGAATAAGGTAATTAGTTTAAGTTTCCTGTTTAAAATTATAGTTCAAAATCACATTCTAACCCCAGGCATATGTTGATGAATCTTTGAGTGTCACCAGAAAGAGGAGCCCCTCCAGAAAGTAGAAAACGGATGTCTCCACCCAAAACTGCCCGAACTTTGCTAAATACCAGAAAATCCCATAAGAATTTCTCAAGTCCCCATGCACCGAACCAGCTTCCATTAATTGCTGCAAACCTACGACCATATCCAATGTCAAATAACTTCTTTGCAAATCCACCCTTTGCATTTACCTGAATATAAAGAGATCAAACAAATTGGCTCTGATTGTTTGCTCGATGATTGAAAAATGATTAATGAAAAATCAAGAAGTTTTTGCCCACATTTTTTCTCACACCATCTCGAATGCGATCAAGAATAGCAGGTACCGCAGTCATTAAAGTAGGTCCTAAAACAGAGGCATCACCCTTTGTTCCCTTCTTTATTTTGTTTGATGTGTCAGTAAGAGTCAAAGGTGAACCATATCCAATAGAGGCACCAGCAGCAATCATTACAGACTGCAAAGAAAAACAGTCATTTAATTGGAATATCTGTTTTATACCAAAAGAAAAGGGGGGCATGTACACATATACTACACAATTTATGTATTTACATATATAACACCTAAATATTCATATTTACATGCATGCTCCTCAAACCTTTAACATCACATCCAAAATAGCACCTTCATTATCATTCTAAAGGTGAAATGTACCTTTTCATACATGAGATTGACACAAAGGGGTTATAAGTGTAAATATCAATTTTTGAGTGTTAGATATTTACATACATAAGAATTGTGTGGTATGTATGTAAATTCCCAAATTAAAAAAAGAGGTTATCAATTATCGCCTGAAACAGCATAAATTTAAGAAATTGTAAAAGCTCACCTCTGCCGCTAATTCAAGAATATGAGCTAGTGGCAAGTAAGCCAAATAAACATCTTTACTACCAAGCCCAGGTACAATAGTCATAACTGCGGCAACAGTAGCTAGAACATTCCCATGTGACATCATTACCCCCTATATAAAAGCATAAAAAAAATAGAGGATTTAGAATTAATAGAACAAAGAAAATTATGTGATGATATTAAGAAACAATACTAAATACTATTAGAAGATAAAGTGACACATGACTGATGAGTATAAAAATATTTGACCTATCATACAAAATAGTCAAAACATAAGAATATAACTCCTAGAGTTACAGTGACTCGCGAGTTTAAAACAGAATACAATGGAGATTTAAAAATAAATTTTAAGAAGCCGCGATTAGGTCTTCAAAGTTGCATGATTTTGAATATTGGATTGTAAGAAAGTCATTGACATTTGAGTGTGACTCTAGGAATGATTATATGAGAGAGAAGGTTGAAGTGACGTTTACTGAAAAGAAGGTAACTAAAAATAGACCTAGGTGGTGTAGATAAATATATAATGAAAAGTAGAAAATATGTCAATAAAAGTTAGTGTCAAAAGTTCGAGGAGGAAATAAGTCTCAAGTTAAATGCATAGAAGTTGTCCAAAATATTGCAAGAATAAATTTTAACACCTCAAACATGAGAATGGAAAATAAGTATTCATAATACCAGCCACAAAACTTTAGCTTAAGACAAATGATTACTTTGACTTTATTGTTAAAAAAGGTTGAGACTAATCTGCAAGCACAAAAAAAAAAATAATAATAATAATTTTGCTTTTGGATGGCAATTCTGAATAGATGCCATCTAATTTATCAAAGAAATAAAAGAAAATTTCTTTTGCCTTGACAATTAACTATCGTTCTTATTTCATAGCATCACAAAAGATGAACCTATATTTCACCAGATCACCACCATAAATAATCCAAACTTGGCCAAGTTGAACTACACAAGGATTTAAAGGTAATCAGCTTCCGACAATAGTATGAAATTAGAAACATAGCAGCTTCAACGTATAAAAAACTTTATCTAAAGATATGAAAAATATATATATATCTTAACATAATTGGAGCATATGCAAAAAGAACTAAAAAGGAGAAATTTTTTAGGCTCTTTGACCAACCTTAGGAAGGCCAGTACTCCCACTAGTGTACATTATGACAGCAATGTCAGCTGAAAGAGGCATATTTGCTTCAAGAGGGTTTTCCTTGCCCAGTTTCACTACTTCAGCAAATGAGGACACCGTCCATGAAGTATTTTTCTGATATTGTGTAATCTCATTTGAGATGTCTTCCTCATTAATACAAATTACACGTCTAACAGTATCAAGTTGTCCGCTTATGTCAACAAGCTTTTTTAACTCTTTGCGTCCACATATCACAGTTGTTACTTCTGTCTGGTAAAAGATTATAATCAGTTAGAAAAGTAAATCAAATTTAGACACTTTCATGCCATTGAAACCAATAAATAGTTTTTGTTAAGGAAAAGAAAAAAAACAAGAACAAAAGCATTTAGAGAGAGAGAGAAGATGAAGTACCTCATTTAGGGAGTGACAAAGAGCTTCCTCGCCCAAGGAAGCATACATGGTAACTACTGTGAGATTTTGTCGGAAGCAACCCTTCACAAAAAAAATAATTATATTAGATTAATAAATCCAAACAGAACTTTTTGCAATTCGGCACTTTGCATATGACATTCAGTATGGAAACTAGAAAACATTAAATTTGGCGAAGTGCATTCCTGAACTGATAACTCTTTCTTCTTTGAGGACAAGTAAAATCTTACTTATCGCGTAATGTAAAAGAAAATCTAAGAATTTGATGTTGATGGGGATGGCAATGGCAATGCATAGACTATAGCAAAGTTAGAAATCTACACAGGAACGAACCACAATCCCCTCTAATAGTTAAAAACAACAGAGCTGGGAATAATAACTTCAATCTTCTAATTATAAAGTTATTTATCAGAATATCTGAGAAATTATAAAATAAGATATGATGTTGGTCAAAAATACCTGTAAGACTATCTGCCATTGTGCCTGTGTGTCGGCGAAGATCCCAACACGCTCATCACTTTTGTGACCAAGTTGGATTAAACCAGAAGCAAAGTTGGAAATAGTATCCAAAGCTTGAGCATAACTTAGCCATTCATAGTCCCCAAGATGGAACTTCTCAAAGGATCTGCCATCTTGACTCTTTTCAGTTTCCTTGGAAATAAGCTTTCGAGTTCCAAACAATGGCTTGTTCGGGTACTTCTTACAGGAATGCTCAAACAGCTCAGATATGGTTGTGACCCCTTCCCAAAGTGATTCAACGGGTTTCTCAAAACGGTGATTGCGAAGTGTAAAACCAGGCTCTCCACCAGCATCTACTGGTAAGCCGCGCTTCTTTCTGCCCTTTGTCTTTTGGAGTATCAGAGTAATCAGAATGGGCACAAAAGCACCGACAAGATATGGATTCATTCTAAACTAAGGAAGATATCAGTGAATTCAGCGGAAATCTCCAGATGCAAAACCCCAGAACTAAAAACTGTCACCAAATCTGGCTAAAAAGATGCATTAGAAACAGCAATTCTAAGTATTTTAGCCACAATAAACTAGGAATTTATGTATATGGTTAAATAAAAGGGCCAGAACAAATCAATTAAAAAGGCAAGAATGCAAATTTCCTTTGTGTCGGCCTCTCTAACCATATACAAACCTAGCAGAGACCTACAATACAGATAGTAAACCTACTTAATAGCCCAAAAAACCTATAAAGATCAAAGAAAGGGAGATTTAGCACTCACAAAAATTCAATGTCTCACCCAAAGCTACAAATATTGTTGTCTATTGTAGCTTGGGGGGAGATTTAGCAGAAAATAATTCTCTAACACAATTCACTCTAAGAGGCCGTTTGGTCACGAGAAGGATTTAACTCAAGTAGTGCTCAGTAAATATTATAAATCCATGTTTAGTAAATCTTGAGAGTATTGAAACCACAAAATGGTTTAGTATAACAACTTTTAAATACAGCTAAATCCTCATAAACAAATTGGATATTTGCTTAAAGTGAGAAGGAGAAACTACTTAAATCCAGTGAATAGTGGGATTTAGTAAATCATGAACTTAACAAATAAGGGTTTGTTTAAAGAAGCGGCTATGAAGTGGTGAAGAATAAGCTGTTGTTCAAAAAACTGTTGTGGTTATTACAAAAATTTATTTTTTGAAAAGGTTAAATCATAACCTTGTAGCAACCAGTAGGTAGTCAGGTCTGATTATAACTCAGCTTTCAACTACAGCTTTTTAATAACTCCGGAGTAAAAACTGAGGTGCAGCCCCTAAGGCACCCTAAGGCAGCTAAAGACAAAATTTACAAATAATGCAGAATTTAAAGCCCCCAAACTTATTCCGGCAGATCGGCCAGTTTATATCAGCATTCCCGCCTTCCAGAAGACCTAACAAACACCCTTACATTAGCCACAATATAGCACCAGGATCAAATCCGTCAACAAGCCTAGAAATCACTCAAAAAAAAGTTTTCCACACCATTTTTCCATTAAAAAAAAAGTGCAAAAGAAATCTGCAAACCTCTCAAAGAACCACGGATCGAATAAACAGAAAGCCGCCATCACCATGAAACACACAGATTCGAAAGCAAAGAATCGAACTCACCTGTTGCAAGACAGAGCTCGATTAAAAGAATAGGGCAATGAGTGAACGATCCGGAGCCAAAACCTAAGAAGAAGAAGAGAACGCGGCAGTCGTGGCCTTAGTAGAGAGGAAACGGACAGCTCAAGCTACCCATAGATTGGGCATTCGGACGACAGAACAAATTAGTCCACATTAATTTTCTTCGGCTATTAAATATGCGTAATGAAAAAAAAATATAAGGTTTTTCTTTTTCTAAATAAAGATGAGCTTAGTGAGCCATTGCACGATTTAGCTTCAGTTCACATCATAAGATACTAAAATTCAGGGCGGTGCAGTACCACATTATAATTTTATCTGTTTAATTAAACTGTATTTTGGTAGCTTTTTTTTTTTTTAATTATTGTTCAAATCTGTGTTTTCACACTTATATTGACTATGTGCAGTGTCATTTTTTTTAGTTGTGGTATGATTTTCTTAAAAAAATTTGTATTTGTCACTGTAGTTTTTTTAACATCAAATTATTTTTCACCAGTTTCACAGTTATTTTTTAATAAATTGTAGCTACCCCAAACAGACTCTCAATCATTATATCACGCGAATTTGTAATCTCATAATGAGAAACTACAACTCGATTTACCGTATCACATGTAAGTGTGCATTTATAAATTGATTTGAGTTGTATTTAGTTTTGAATATAATCGTATTAACTTAACTTTATGATGTAATTGAGAATTAGTAAGTCGTGTTAAGATTTACTAAAAAAATTAACCACAAAACTCATTAATTATAAATGCTTAATAAGGAGTAATAAAAAAATGGTTAAGAATTAAGAAAATTATAAAATTCAAGGTTGAATGAAAATTATTAACTCTTAAAATTGTGGGATCCAGATTTGTTCATAGATCATGCCCAAAAAATATAGCGCAGAAAGACACTTAATGAGTACAAAAATATATATTATATTTATGTATTTATCAAAAAAAATGTCTTTAAATTTTATTGCTCTTGTAATTATAGAAAGTTAGGTTGTCTTGTGAAATATCAATAATGACCTTGACATAATGAGCTCATTTGTTGTCATTTGTTTATGGGTAGTCTGAAGACGATCAGGCCATCATTTGTTTAGAATGGCGAGATTGTTGTCATGGCGAATATCCCTCATTTCATGTGATCAACCTGCCTTGTTTCGAACAGTTGATTTGATATCCTACCGTCGACTTACAACTGACTCATTCCATATGTCAGATTTGACCTCTTGAGATGTGTCTTGCTCTAAGAAAACCAAAAAATTAGATTTTAAAAAACATCAATATTTAATAGATATAAAAAAAATTTATTTTGTGAAATTTAAGCTAGTTCATATCTATTTTTAAATGACATCATGCAACCAAATAGCCCCCTAAGAGCTAATGAGATAATTACTAACTATTTAAATTGGATTTATTTTAATTTTTAAATTTTCATTCATTGAAGTAATCAAGTATAAATCAATCAACTTCTTTTTCTTTGGATAAATTATGGCCAAAAAAAAATAATCAGATGAGATATTTTGGACACAATATCACATTAAGTAAACCAAAATTGAAGGATTATTTCTTTCAATTAACAATATGACTAAATTAATTCAGATTTGATTCTTAATTAAAAGGCTAAATTTAATGCCCAATAAATTCTAAATTAAAATAAATATAGCCGACAAAATTCGCCGTTATGTGAAACGAGAGGGAAACGAGTTTGAGGAATCGGTTTATTTTGACCCGGTCTAGTTGACGTGAGTCGATTTAAAAGGGTCGAATGAGTGCGTTGGGCGAATCTCATTCGTCCGATTCGATGTGACCAGAATCGTACGGTTGAGCATTGTTAGGTAGCCTATCGCGGTTGTTTCTGACAAATTTGCAGTTTAATAATTAATTTAAGTCATCCGGTTTGGACCATTGAGGCTGAATTGTGATGCTGTGGATTCAAGCGACCGTGTTGTTTGACCAGAAGGAATTGGGGGCATTTACATACACACCATCTAATCTCTATTTATTTACATATCTAGCCCCTAAATTTTAACTTTTACATTTATATCATCCAAATTTTTAACATTAACGTGAAAAATAGTCATATTTTAACTTTTAAAAGGTAAAATGTACATTTGCAATGCATGGTTAAGAGTGAATATATGAAAATTGAAATTTTTAGTGTTGCATAGAGAAATACATAAGGATTGAGTTGTATGTATGTAAAACCTCTTAGGGTCTGTTTGGGGCAGCTGCAACTTATTGATCTGATAAAAAATAATCCGCTGATAAGCTAGGCACGGTGGCTATTACAATTTTTTTTTTTTTGGAAAAGTTTCAGATCACTGTCAATAAGCTGTCACCGCACCTAGATAGGTGCGGTGTGAAAACACCGTTTTCTGTGTTTTGAAAACGCATAAGCTGCTAAAACATAGTTTACCCAAACAGATCAGGTGCGACCGCACCATAAGCTGCCCAAACGGGCCCTTAATTTTACATGCAAAGTAGCAACCGCACCATAAACTGCCCAAACGGGCCCTTAATTTTACATGCAAAGTAGATTAAATTTAAGAAAATAAAAGAAAGTTTTAAAATTTAAAGCAAATTTAATATTGATAAATAAAAATAAATATAATACATAAATGATTAATGATTAATGTTATGAACTTCTAGGAAAAGAGAACCCAAGTGCTCTAATATGACCTAAGATCAAAATAATCAGCAAGAGGGCAAGAGCAAAGTGGCCACAGCACCAAGTCATACGTCCATGCACAAAGGTCCCTAAAAAAGTAATATATTCCTATATCCATTTAGATCAAATTAACCGAGTCAATTGAGCTAAAAAAAAAACCGCATTAACTCGAACAGCTCTCAAACTTCAGGTTGCTTAGGATATATCTAGAGTTTTCCAAGAAGTCATCCATGCAAATCGCTCGAAAAATTACTACCATTCGGCACGAGCCCAAGTAAAATCTTTCAATGACACCCAATCTCAGGGTACGAAAAAGTTGTAGTTAGTAGCGAATAAAACTATCGGTTCAACTCACCTTCTCTGATAAAGGTCTGTTGAAGTCCTTGATAATGACTCGAACTCGCAAAGCATTGAGACGCAATGCACCTTTTTCCCCTTCACTATCTTTATTCGCGATGTTATTCAAAGTAAGATTCATTCTATGTCCATCACATCTAATCCAGCACAGCATATAGGAAAACAATACTTAAATCATTAAAAAAAATGGGTCATTTACATAAATAGCGCACAATTCTTATGTATTTACGTATCTCAAACCAAAACTTTTATATTTACACATCCAACGTCAAAATCTTTAATATCAAATAAAAAAATAGCACAATTATCAAATTTTAAAAGTAAGCTCCACCTTTCACGCATAGGCTTAAAGCACCAAAGTGTATGTAAATATCAAAGTTTAGGCACGAGAAATGTAAATAAATAAAGAATTGTGAGTTGCATATATAAATTTCCCTGAAAAAAAACATGCCAACCAACTATATTCACTCATGAACTAATAATACCAAAGGTAAGCAATCCATGGGACAAATCATTAGACATTAATGAGTATGATCATTAATGTCTTAAATACAATCATAAATGGAATCAAAAAGCTAAATTAAAAACTCCAGCCATGATTAACATTACAAAGAGCCATGAAGAAGGAAGAGCAGGAGTTAATCTTAGTCTGCGCGAGATTGACCTGCTCGAGAAGAGAGAATGATGCCGACAATTAGACCGTAAAGAGCGAGCGCTTCAGCAAAAATAAGAATCAGAATCATTCCCACAAACAGCTTTGGTTGCTGAGCATTGGCCCTGTCAGTGGATAAATAATCACAATCATAATCACAATCATATGAAGCTATCCATATTACATAACAAATAGTATAATTACATCTGCATTCATGTTTTACAAATAGGGAAATAACACAATGTTCAAAAACATTTGAAAAATAAATAGAAGTGCAAAAATTATGCACATAACACCAAAAATTTTATCATTTACAAACTGAACTATCGAACTCATGCATTTGTAATGATAAAATCATTGAGAATTTGATGAAAGAGAAAAATTAAAGTCGAGGTTTTGCTGTGTTTTTTTTAGATTTGGATGGTATTATTATAAATGGGGGTATTTAAGTGTTAATTTGATAAACAAGCAAAATCCATGTTATGTATGTAATTGTACTGGTTGTTGATCACCTTAACAGCTTGGTTATTAACAGACCATATATATCAACTACAATGGGCCAAAATAAGGTCTGAACAAACAATTTCTGCTTACAACCCAAATACTTGCAAGTACTTGGTGATAGATTAATTAATAAATAAAAAAATTTCGTCAGAAATAATAAAATTCAAGGACTGAATTAGATTAGATGTAATTTCAAGATTACAAAATTCCTTAAAAATAACTTTTTCAAATCACATCGTATCATTATTTAAAATAAACTGCTACTTATAATAATTATAATACTCAAATCTTTCATATCACATCAAAAAGATCACTGTTACTCACTTTTACAAAATAAATACTCATTTTCATGTATACATAAAATATTAAAAAGAAAAAGGTTTCTATTTACATACATACCACTCAATTCCTACGTACAAAAACTTCAATTTTTACATGCATGCAACCTTACTTATTGCATAAAAAGTTATATTTCACCTTTTAGGAGTTAAAATGGTGGTAAATTTTGTGATGTGAAATGAAAATTTTGGGTGATATAAATGTAAAAAAGTAATATTTAGGTGTTAGTCACTTAGTTGGGTGGCATGTATGTAAATACCCCTTGATTTTATTTTCCTTAAAAGAGAACTATGTATTGCTTCAAGTTGGGCTGAAACAAATCATATCCACGTCATTAGAAAGTTGACTCTACATAATAGAGACCGAAATAAAAAATTGTACCCTATCGAAAACACCAGTGATCACTTCACAGTGATAATCCGCTCTACCCAATCCACTCAAAGACGACAACAACAACAAGAAGCCTTTATCTCACTAAGTGGGGTCGGCTACATGAATCCTTCGTCTCCATTGCGTCCTATTTAGTGTCATATTTTCATTTAATTTTAATAAAATAAAATCATTTTTTATACAATATGCTCATGTCTTTTTAGGTCTATCTCTGCATAAATTGAATCTAAAACATCTGCTCTCCTAACATGATCATTAGATGGTCATCGTTTAACGTGATCAAACCATCTAAGATGACTCTCTAATTTTGTCTATGTCTTTTTAGGTCTATCTCTAAACATCTGCTCTCCTAACATGATCATTAGATGGTTATCGTTTAACATGATCAAACCATCTAAGATGACTCTCTAATTTTGTCAGTCATTGGAGCTACACCAACTCTATCACGGATATATATTCATTTCCCATTTTGTCTCAAAGTGTCAAGCCACTCATCCACCTAAGCTTTCTCATCTCAGCAACGATTAACTTTGCTTTATGCTTCTCTTTTAAAGGCCAACATTCTGCACCACAGAGAATTGCAGGTCTCACCACCATCTTATAAAATTTTCCTTTCAGTCTAAGCGGTACTTTTCTATCACACAATAGGTCTGATGCATTCCTCTACTTCAACCAAACAGCTTGAATTCTACTAATACCACCCCCCCATCTACAACACCATCACAGACCCGAGATATCTAAAACGTTCAAACCTTTTAATGATTTGATCACCCATAGTTACAACTCTGTCACAAGGCTATTACACTAGGCTACTTCTACTAAAATTACATTTCATGCGTTCAGTTTTAGTTCTACTCAAACGAAGGCCTTTAGACTCCAATGCAGACCTCAATAATTCAAGTTTTTCCCAAACTTTTTCTCTAGTCTTATCCACAAGAAGGATATTATCAGTGAAAAGCATACATCAAGGTACATCCTTCAGCAAAACATCCAGTAAGAGCATCCATGACTAAAGCAAAAAGATATGGCCTTAAAGTCAATCCCTGATGTAATCCACTGAAAAAGGAAAATATTCGGTCAATCCTCCTTCAATTCGAACACAAGTAACTGTCCTAGTATACATATCTTTAATGACTTGAATATAATTCAGATCAACACATTTCTTCTCTAGAACTCTCCAAAAGACTTCGCTTGGAACCTTATCATAAGCTTTTTCTAAATCAATAAAAATCATATGTAGATCCTCCTTATTCTCTTTGTACTTGTCCATTAAACCTCTCAATAATTGTGTAGCTTCCATAATAGACCTGCTCGACATAAATCCAAACTGATTATGAGAATGTGTAGGTTCCATAATAGACCTGCCCGACATAAATCCAAACTGATTATGAGAAATCTTTGTAACACGGCTTAACATCTACTCAATTACCCTCTTTCATAATTTTAAAGTATGACAAATCAACTTAATTCCTTTATAATTTGCACACTGTTGTGCATCCCCTTAATTTTTAAAAATGGGTCCAAAATACTCTTCATCCACTCCTCAAAAATCTATTTAATTTTTAAAATAATATTAAAGAGTTTCACAAGTTAAGAAACTTTCAAATCTCCTAAATATTTTCAAACTTCAACAAGAAACTTTCAAATCTTCTAAATATTTTCAAACTTCAATTGGGATCCAATCCTCTCAAAGACACATAAGGAAAAAAATTATTATCACATAACACACTCCAATTAATGGTAGGAGATCAATAATAACAAGCAATTCATATGCAAGGAAGATGGTAATACTATCAATAATAATTTGTAATATAAATTTATCAGGAGTACATTATTTATGATTATTGTAAATGTGGTCTCCATTATTGGCATCATTAGACAACGATGGTGACAAGCAACATTTTATAGAAAATGATGTATTTAATTTACTCAAATATAGCTAATTCCAAATACATTAAAATTAAACTAGAGAGTGAATTTTAAATACAGTGCAAACTTTCAAATGCACATAGATTTAAACAACATTAGGTTCTCTTCCAACAAAGCACCTGGATTTTAAAACTCAAGTAAAAGTAATGCAATGCACTCATTTTATTGCAATCAAACAACCCTAAATTATTTATCTACTTATTGCTATCTTATATTCAATATATAACATTCCCACCACCCCACTAATATAATCAATTTTGAAGCTATGCTTCATAGCATTGCAAGGTATAAATTAGGGGTGTAAGTAAGTCAAGACGACTCATGCGCCGACTCGAGCTCGACTTGATAAGTGGCTCGTGAACTGAGCTCGATGACCATACGAGCCAAGCTCAATCCACGACTACACTCATTAGAACCACGACTACACTCATTAGCTCATGAGTCGGCTTGTTTAAAAAAATATTAATATAAAATATACTTAAAATATATAAAATTTCAAGACTTTATCTCTAAGATACTAAAAATATTAAAAATAATAATATTTTGTATTGTATATTAGGTGATTTTAAACTATTTCTATACTAATTGTTCATTTTTTTGTCATCTTATTATAAAGTTATCTTAAATTAATATTATTTTTACTCATTTATATTAAACAAGTCAGCTCGCGAGACTGCTCAAACTAGTAGACTTAAGCTCGAGCTTGAGCTCGAACTAAATAAAATTAACCAAGCTCAAGCCGAGGGTGGCTCCAGCTCAACTCGTTTACACCCCTAGTATCAATCTTTACATTTTAATTTCTAACATTTTCAATTCGTCAAAACCTTTTTACTTCCAACATCTAGATCCATATGGCATATAACATAGCTCATAACTCTAAAAATTATAGTCCCATATATATCCCAATAATTTTGAGTAGTAGATAAAAGTTATTTAAGCATATCAAATCAAACTCTCTTTTTTTGTGTAATATGGGTAGATCAATCACTACCACTAATGTTGCATAGCATATGCTCATTCTTCATTTTACTAATCCCAACCATTTTTTTAAAATATTTTTTCATTATTTTATCTTTATTCTTATCTCAATAGAAATTTCATTGATTAAAAACACAACCTAGACACACAAAAAAAAAAATACAAATACTAAATTTTAACCTAAGTTTAACGTATATTTGATATGTTTTCTTTTAAATTTGTACCACATCAATTCTTTCGGTATTGGATCAATTCAAATCTTAATAGGATCAATCTATATTACACCTCCTTGTCCAATTTAATATGCTTTTACAAAAATATTTTTTTGTCCAAACTCTTATTTATTTATTTATCAAAATAATATGTTCATCTTTCCTTTATATCTTTAACAAATATATTAATATCATCAATATCATTGATTTTAATAAATCAAATATTATCAAAATTTCGAAACTTTGTATCCTCTATAATAAGCATTTCATTTGTCTCTTAATATACTTTTTAATATCTACTCTATTATATAAATCATTAAAAGTAATGGGCTTTTACATCGCTGAGTTGCCCTCAACCACCTTTGAAAAGACTATTGCATTCATTATAATTATAATAAGTTCTAATAGTGTTTATTATTTAACTGCTCAAATAATTTTTTCTTTTATAAATCTCTTACAGTTCCTCAATCCACAACAATTTTCTTACCTATATAAGAATTATTTTAACATTATCCTAAAAATTCTACAATTTATAATAGAATTGTCCATCTTATCATTCAGCAAGTTTCTCAATTGTATAAAATATGTTCTGCCTCTATTACTGACTTCTCAAATTACAAGTTCCATCATTTTATTCAAGTATATTTATTTCTTTCAATTATTTTCTTTATGCTCCGAAGAAACACATTCATGACTAATCCTCTATATTGCTTGGTTAAATTTTCTCTTGCAAACACATAGCAGCTTTTGAAAACGATTTTTCTTTCCTTTTATTTATAAAGAATTCTATTTTAGTTTAGGCACACTACCCTTAAAACTAACAAATTATTCTATTTTTCTTAAAATATATATTCTTTATCAAGGATACCTTCTTCCATCTCATTTCAAGACTTAATATCCTCTAAGAATCCAATTCCTTCTTCATAAGTAAGCCATTAAATTCATTTCTTTACAAAATTGATTGCTTAAACTATCTTCCAATCAATTGAGGAGTACAAGCATTAACTAGATTCATCATTTACTGATAGGTAATTAACTTAATAGCAATCATCCAATCAATAATCAGATTTACCTCAACAATTTTGTACTTTAATAGCCCTACCACATCCCTATTGATAAATCTCCCTTAAATAACATAACATATAGCATTTCTAAATGTCCCTATTTTTCTCCCCTTCTCTTTTAATTTCTTTGAAACAAGTGACGTTGGTTCTTAATACTCATAATCTTTGTATCCGCTAAATATCCTATTTGCTCATTCAAAGTTCTCAAATTCAATAAAGCATATCTAATTTAAGGCCGAGCCAACGCTTGCCAATTTTTCCCATTTTCATCAAAATTGGTTAAGTTGTTGTGTTGCACATGTGGGTGAGATCCTAACTAGGGATGTAAACGAGCCGAGCTTGAGCGAGCCCAAGCTCAGCTTGTCTTCAGCTCATTTATATATCAAGCTCAAAAAATTTGTTCGTGTTCGGCTCATTTGCTCAGCGAGCCAAACACGAGCTGTTCATAAAAACCGAGAAGTTTTGACAGCCCAAATTATATAGTTGTAAGTTGTTAAGAAAGAAGTGAGACATAAATCTTATCATTTATATTAAAATATTCATTTAAATAAAAAATAATATAATTTTATATTATATTTTAATTAATAATTTTAATTAATATAAATCTTTGTACCATTTAGTCAAATAAATTATTTAAAACTAATACTCATGAAATATATTGGAGCTATCAGAGCTACAAAATTTGATATTTGTTAATCAGCTTGATGTCATTTGAAGTTTTATCATCAACCTCAAGAGATTATTGGAAACTTATGCTATCCATCCTTAAAAGAATTCTCCAATTACATGATAATGAATTCATTATTTTTAGAGATTCTAGATAATAAAAAAATAAGCTTTTGTATATCAAATTATCTATTGATTCCACAATATACATATAGGGCTGTCAAAAAAGCTAGTTGTTCGCAAACAAATTGTGTTTGGAGCGTTAAGTAACTTGTGTTCAGCACGTTCGTTAAGTAAATGAGCTGAACTCAAACAATTTTTTTAAACTTGAATTATAAATGAGCCGAATACAAACAACTCTTTGTTCACTTGTGTTCAGCTCTTTTTAGCTCGAAATAAAAAAAATTATATAATTATTTATATAATAATATATTATATATATTTATATCTACGTTTAGTTCGTAACAGCTCATGTGATAATGTGATTATCTGTCTTCTTTTGCATGGTCTTAGTTTAGATTCGAATCTAACACTCTACATCTATTTTTTCCACTTAATTTTAACGAGCCCATTTCGAGCCAAACACAGGCCGAACACGCTGTTCACAAGCCAATTTCGAACAAGAGCCGATTTCGAACTCAAGCAATTTCGGACGAGCCAAGTCTAAGCTCGCTCAAGCTCTGCTCGTTATGAGGTCGCTCAAGCTCTGCTCGTTTACAGCCCTATATACGCTGAGGCCGCTCAAGCTCTGCTCGTTTACAGCCCTATATAAGTCATCTCAATTTCTCATAAACACAAAATTTACCTTGATTGACCCACTTGAGTTGATTGCACAATGCCTAGTTCCGACATAACTTTTTATTTCAATAATTTCTTTTCATATTAGGTTCTTCTTCTTCTTCTTCTCTTTTACAGCTACTATGTGATCCATCACACCATCTCTTAAGTTTAGGCACTCTCTTTGCTAGCATAAAGCCCTATCAAACTGTTCTTAAGATTTAATGAAGGCAAAACTTCATATTCTCTTCCTCGATCAATGAGCGCAGTATCAACTATCAACAGAAAGAGTTTGGAAATGGCAAAGATTTCATAATTCAGAATCCGACGGAAGGCTAGATTCCGAATAGACAAGGAGCTTCTATTGAGACAAGACAATGACATATTATAGAATGATATTCGAATTACTCAAGTTTTGGAGGGTTTATTGCGGACTCGGTCAGTTCATCGTGGTCCACGTAAGTTCGTGCAGAGAACAAAAAAGCCAAGAAAAAAACCAGAAACACAATGATAATTTATAGAATCCCAAATCAACAGCCAACCATTTCAGATCCAATAAAAAAAAAAGATCGAGAAAATTACCGCACACCAGCATCACCAACGATCCCAATGGCCATTCCAGCGGACAATCCAGCGAGACCGCAGGCAAGGCCGGAAGAGAGGTGAGCATATCCATCAAAGAGGTAATACGATTTTGCCTTGGGATTTATTCCCGTGCTGATAATAACCGCAATGATCAAACCGTAGATCCCGAGAACTCCGGCCATAACAACTGGGACGATCGACTTCATGACAAGCTCCGGCCGCATCACTCCCATCGAGGCCACGCCGACGCCGCTCTTCGCAGTCCCATATGCCGCCCCCATGCCTGAAAACAAAGATCTCCACCATAAAAACCAAAGGGGCTTCGAATCTAGAGACGAAAGGGGGTTGGGCAGGAGAGAGCTTACAGGAGAATACGAGCGCCGCCGCAGCGCCGAGAAAGCCGAAGAAGGGAGCAGTTTCATCGCCGGCAAAACCCGCCATTATCGAAAATGAAACCCTATCCAGACGTGTCTAATGGATCTAATGCCTCTTTTATCTCATCACTCATTTCCTCATAAGAACGAGAAAAACTTACATCCGGTCACCCCCCACGTTCTCATGCACGTTAGCACCGAGTGCATAAGTGCCCCTCAATTCCTATCTATTTACATATCCAATACCTAAACTTCAATTTTTATTTTCACCCAACATTATCGGGGTGTTTAGCAGCATACTTTTAACATGATTTAGGCTCTATTTTATGCAGCTGCAATTTTTCAGTTTTTCAGCTGCAACTGTGCTGCCCCAGGAAGCTGCTGTTGAGAAGCTGACTGTTTATTTGTAGCAGCTGTGTGAAAACAGCTTTGGAAAACAGCTTTGGGGCAGCTGTTTCTGAAAAAATGTTCATGTTGCCCCTGTTTGGTAAAATTGTTTAAAACATAACTGTAATAACGATATTTTTGATAATGTTATGAATTTAAAACGAAATTCAACTCTATGTTAATTAGAATTTATGCTCGGTCCATCTTCAAAATTTAATAAATCCTATAGAGAGACGGATTTAATGGATTTAACTTGTCATTGCTTGCAACCGTAGCTCTCCTCACGAGCTTGCCAGAAATCCTTATTTGATAAACCCTACTCAACTTAAATCAGACTATGCAGCCAAACGTCACCTCCATTAGTCCGTATGCATTAAAAAGATGTATTCCACTTAAATATAGTGGTATTTTTATATGATATCATAACTATGAATGTTTAAAATGTAAAAAAAGTAAAGTTCCTGTGTTAAATGTGTAAATAAATAAGAATTGTATTGTATGTATGTAAATGATTAATATATTTTTTTCCTATTGATTTTAAGCCTGATAATGGATGAGAAATTTGACTTTATATGTCTCATGATAAAGTCCTCTTAAGCTTATTTTGAATAAAAAACATTCTCATTTGTTTATAAATAGAATAAGAAGCCATTTTACTCTTCCTCTTTCCAACATATTCAACATCTTTAATGATCTTAATAGGATTTGTGATTCACCCACGAACAAGGACGGAACCAACTTTATATTTTAGGGGGGCAAAAATATAAAATATTTAAAAGATAAATTTATCAAAATTAAATAAATTGCATAAGAAAAAATTACTAAATATTTGCATTCTAATGCTTAAATAGCAATATTAAATATTTACATTATTTTTTTATTATATTTTGAACCAGCTTATTTTATTATATTAAATATCAAAATATTTTTATTATATTTTGAAATAAATTTATTATTGTTTGTATATGTAATTTAATGAGTACTTTAGTTTTTGTGATAACTATGAAGTGCATGTGACTTATCTAATACCTTATATTCAACAAAAAGCTTTAAATTATATGAGTTTCATTAAAAAAAGATTGCTTATTAATTATTTATTTATTAATTCAATATAATTATTTATCTTTTTGTAAATATTAGTTTATAGAATTATCAATTCTATTCAGATTTATTGTATTATAGCTCTTAAGTTGCAAATATATTGTGCCATGGCTATTAAACCGTTCTATAATGTGCTTAGCTCTTATATTGTAGTCTATTATATATATGGCTTATAGCCTTATAATCAAGGGGCAATTACGTACAAACTACCTTAAACCTGTTATTTACAAATTAACCAGACAATCCCAACACATATTTTTTGTTTTTATCGAATCTTAATAGTTTGACTGTGACACGCATAAATAAATAAATTTGACTTATTTAGAATAACTTTTTAACTATACCTTCTAAAACTATCGTTTTGGCCACAACTTTATTGATCTTGAATTTTTTGTGATTATGAATATCTTTTTACAACCAAAAATGCCTAAAATAGAAAGGGGCATTTATACTCAATCCCTATGTATTTACAAATGTAACTTCTAAACTTTATCTTTTACATTTATACCACCCAAATATTTCATAGCACATCAAAATTACCACCATTTTAACTTCTATGGCCTTAAATACACCTTCTCTTGCATATATTAGGCGGCTTGTAGGTAAAAGTTGAATTTGAATGGTTAGATATATAAATACATGAGAATTGAGTGGTATGTATGTAAATCTTCCTTTAAATAAACATATAACGAAATAGAACTGCAGTACCTTTCGGGAAAGTTTTTCTTTGGGCGACCAATATTTTTTGGGAGATTTATATAGATACCACATAATTCTATGCAATTATCCCATTTTCATGTAATTATCCCATTTTAATTGATCATAGAATTGGGTAGCATGTATGAAAATGCCCCATTTCTTAGATGAGCTTTTTTATTTTTTTTCTATGGGGCACTCACATACATACCACTCGATTCTTATGAATTTATGTATCTCACAACAAAACTTCAATTTTACATCCGCACCTCATATTTACATGCACAACACTCAATTCTTTCATATCACACAAAAAATAACACCAATTACCACTTTGTAATATTCAAATTCACATTTTCACGCATATAGATACAATGCCATGCATGCAAATATGAAAATTTCGGCATGAAATATGTAAAAATCCATAAGAATTAAGTGTTAGGTATAGAAAATTCTCTTTTATTTGAGCATATTTAATCACAAACACATACAGTCTAATTATTAGGTGCGAAGGGCGCACGCAGAGCTAATCACAGCCGCACATCGCGGCTATATGACAGTGGGACTGCGTGCGCCCTCCACACACAATAATCGCTCTTTTATTTGAGCATATTTAATCACAAACACATACATACCGTATATACGAAACCTTAACATTAAATCCACTTGATTGACACTCTTAACTCTCAATCAAAATATAAAGAAAAAAAAAATGTTTTTACATACCAATCATTCAAAATATTAAATATAACATTTTAACCACCCAAAACTTACTTATTTTCATTACAACTATTCTCCTAAACTCACTCAGAAAGTATTTTAATGAAAGTTTTGAGTGGTTCAAATGTTATATTCAATGTTTTGGACGATGACGATGATAACAATAACAATAATGATAAAACTTCGTTGATGACTAAATGGCGATATTTTAAAGCCTATAGTTCATGACGATGGAGCTTTTAGTTGAAAAAAAAAAAAACTACAGTATTGGTTGATTCGCTCGCAATATGCAATCTCAGAACCTGGAAAAAAAAAAAGCTGTAACGGTCAGTAATCTGCGGCTGTTTGTGTGAATAGTTAGTAGAATTATTGTATGAAAAAATAAAGGTAGATTTATATACCAGAATAAAGGGGCATTTACATATGTACCGTACAATTCTTATATATATATATATATATTTATATATCTAAAAAACTTTGAAGTTTACATGCATGACACTGAAAAGTTTAACACCGTGTCGAAAATATCATCATTAGTAATTAATTAGACATGCATGAGTTTATGACACTGAAGTGTCATAAGTGTAAATAAGAAACTTTCAGGTATTAGATATGTAAATACACAAGAATGATGTAGTACAGATGTAAACTTTTCGGTTGAAACATATGAGAGATGAATACTATATATTTTTCACATTCAAAAACGATAAAATAGTAGAACGTTTTACAAGAGATAGAAATCCTAATATAAGAAGAAAAGAAATTGGTCACTAGACACGTTAATGGAAAAGAATACGGTAAGAAATCTAACAAATAATTCCACAATAAAGAACGGCAACATACAAAGAATAAAGGACGATTTACACAAGTACCACCTTACACATGCATGAAAAGGTGTATTTCGCTTTTTAAAAGTTAAAATGATGGTATTTTGATGTATATGTAAATGCACCGGTATGAGAGTTCTGGGTGGTGTAAATGTAAAAAAGTTAATTTTAGGTGTTATATCTGTAAATACATAAAAATAGAGTGGTATGTATGTAAATGTCCCAATAATAAATCTATTCCCATACAGAGAAAATGGCTGGCGGACAACGGCTATAGGCATTAGAATGATTGCAGGAAGGAAACAGCTACCGGACAAACGACATTAACAGGAAAACAAATATTAGATTAGCAGATGAGTTTTCTTATTAGATCTGGTATGAGATTAGCAGATGAGTTTTCTTATTGAAACTGATTTAAAATAATAATAAAATATTTATTGGATTGATAATTTCCTTATTAAAACCAATTAAAAATAATTGAGGCTTATCCGGCCATAATTTATTAGTACGATTAATGGGTAAAAAAATTCCACTTTTTTTTTTTTTCTTGTAAGAAGTTAAGCAATACAAATTTTAACTTTGAATTAAAGAGTACAGAGACCATTATGGAAACCACGGCCTGTATCCTAGGAGCACCTCAGGGGATCAATAGAGGTATGGTATTATACATCTAAAGAGTAAAGAGGCTCAATTTTTTTAACATCAGTGCACGCTAATGCACAAGCTAAACAATTACATACATGAGAAATATTCGCTCAAGAAAGAGTGAAGCGTCAAAATAGTCTCATGACTATATACATCGGAACCATTTAGTCCCATGATATATAAAAGTGCCATATTAGTCCCCACATTGTTATAATATGGGCTGAAATAATCCAAAAAGAATCTTTTTAGCACCAATTAAAAAAGTCTGGTGACTAAATTGACATCTTTATAAACTCCGGGGCTAAATATGGCTCCCTTCAAACAGTCAAAAGACAATTTTGACACTTTTCTTGCTCGAGAAAGAATAATCAGCAAAAAATATTGAAGTCAAACAAGAAACATCTTGAATTTTGTCCCTTCTTTCATGTCATCATAAATGCCGAATGCATGACACATATAAGATTACCCCTAGAAATGATTGTGGAAGAAAAACTAACCTTCCAACCAGCTAATCTGGCTTGACTAACAGCTCCAACAAGATCCACATCTGCTGTTAGCAAAATTTTGTCATGTTCATCATCTTCGTACTGCACGAATTAAAACATCATTTTTTAAATAAAACTATCATTGATTAAGGACAGAAGGATGGACCGAGTAAATCAGAAGAAAATCACACCAGAAGTTGAATACATTCTTTATCTTTATTGCTAAGCCCTAATCTTTGTAATACGGCAGCAACAAGCTCAGCTAGACTCTCAGTACCTGGAAAAAAAAGACAGGCATTTATTGGAGACATTTATTGCACATAGGGCTGTAATTGAGTCGAGTTGAGTCTATCACCGATTGGACTTGGTTTGGTCGAATCACAAATTGTTCGCGTTCAGTTCGACCTTGAGAAGAGCTTTCACATATATGTTCATACTTGACTTGCTTAAATTTGAATGAGTTCTTAATTTTTTATATAAATTTCTTCATAAATTATTTTACATATCTAAATAAATAAGTAATTTAATTTAATTCAAATTAGCATTTACTAATTTATACCAAGTAAATAAAATAATATAAAAGTTATAAATAAGTTTTCTAGCAATCAAATAATATAAATGAGTACCAATAAACTAGTTCATTAAACTTATATGCAGATTGATATTAAATTATAATATTTTACTATTAAATATATAATTGAATTAGTTCTAAACAGTCAATTGTTATTTAAAGAATATCTCGTATAAATATATTATATTTAACAAGTTACTTGTTGAACAACAAATGAGTTTATTTGTGAACATTAATAAACGAGGTGGACTATATTCAAATTTGATTCATTTAACCTTTGATGTGAACATTAATAAACGAGTTGGACTATATTCAAATTTGATTCATTTAACCTTTGACGTTTAAAAAAAATTAAAATTTTTATTTATTTACTAATTTGAAAAAACAAGATTGAGTATTAATCAAGTCAAGTTTGAGTTGTTCATCAAGTGCATTGATCCATTTACAGCCTAAATTTTATTTGCACATCATGTGGAGATGTTACTGTACATTAAACTAGCAAGATTAACATACTGACCACAACTGAACCTATGCATTCGTCCCTTCTGGTCCTCGAACTTATAGGAGAATGAATTCCCAGCAACAGGTGGATAAAACGATCTTCCAGTTTCAGCGTACTCGGATGCCATCATGCCAGAAAGTTCACTGGAAATTGCTAGCGATGACAATTCATGGAATATAATGACTAATTAACATGAGGAGCATAGAAAAATAATCAAAATGAGACCTTTGAGTATCAAACTCCTCATCTGCTGGCTCAAGAGCAAGGGTAGAATCCCAAAACTTCTGCATCATTGTGTTTGCCATTTCATTTGCCGTATCAGAGCTTCCCTCAACCTTCAAGGACAATCCAAACAAAAAGGAATTTCCCATCAGATATGTTGCATTCATCTAAGTAAATGTCAAAACATTGCAGCCTTTTGATCTAATATGAAACAAAATTAATATAAGTTCACTTGTGTAACAAAAAGATTATCAATGACCCGTCAAAAACAAACCCTGCGATACAAAAATTTTCAATATTGGACCCATAAGTATTTATATAAGAATCAAGGGACACAAAAGATACTGAAAATAAACATTTTAAAGGTGAAGTTGCATGCATTTTGATAATCTTTAAGGAGTGAATTTTGAGGACAAACAGAGGAAATGGAAACTGCCAGCTCATGAATGTGTAAAGTGAATTTTCATGTATATGTTTGAATTCTCACCACGGAAATCGCAGCATGACTTATTTTCAAAACATCCAAGCAAGCCACAATCTGTCCCTCTATAGGTTAAATTGCAAGTCAAATGAGAGGAAAAAAGGGCGTGGCATTTACATACATAGCGCACAATGCTAATGTATTCACATATCTCACACATAAACTTTCATATTTACCCACATAGCACTCAAATTTTTAATATCACATCAAAAATAGCACTATTACCACATTTTAGAAGTGAAATGGACGTCTTCATGCATAGGTTTAAAACACCAAAGTACTATGTATGTAAATATGAAAGTTTAGGTGTGAGATGAGTGAATAAATTAGAAATATGTACTAGGTATGTAAATTTCCCAAAAATATAATCCCTTCGGTAAACAATAACCTTTTTTGTAAACAAATACCTCTATCTAATACCGGAAGGTGAAGAAATTTCCCATCATGCATCTTATGTAGAGCATCAAGAATTGTAGTGTCCAGAGTGGCACATTCTGGGTTTGCAGTCATGACCTGCAGTAATATTAGACAACCTTTGTCATAAGCAACAAAGTCAACCACAAAGAGAAATTAATCTTTAATGGAACCATAAACAAAAATTAACAATTCAAACTTTATCAAACCTTGTCCTTAAAATACAAGAAAGTTACATTACTACATATTAATTTAAAACTCATTTCAAAATCCAGCACAACCAGCTGATAACACAGCAAATAAATTATACTTACAATCTATTTCTACATTCTCCTAGAACTTTCATGGCAATATTTTTAATATAATTAGTCAGGATATACCACCATATCAAGTTTGGTTCAAGTATATGATTTCAATTTGCCTCTATAAAAAACTTATTCAAAATATTAACGACTACTCACCTTTGAAATCACTCCATCTTTTCACAAGTCAATAATTTTTTTTTCGATTGCTTTCTTTACACCTCTAAATTACAAATCAATAGCTACTGTGTGTTATAGCTTTTTCCTGAGATCTACCACCTTGAGCAAAAAACTTCACTTCTCTTCTAAATAAAAATAAAATATTTGTGAAATATCCTGAAAGCTTCACTTATAATAGTGACTAAATGCAGTTTTCACTTCCTAGACATCATTGCAAAATCATAAGCTATTGCAAGATTCATAATAGCTTCTCTCATAACATTGTCATCTCCTACTAAATATCGGCCATGCATTCTCCTGTTATATCCCACTTTACAAGAAGCTATATGTCCATCAAGTAAATACCAATATTTATCATTTTTTTCTCAATACAAGTGCAATAGTTCATCCATTACTTCTAAAAATTATATTTTAAACCATTTCCTGATGTAACTTAAGAAGCATAAGTACAAAAAAAAATTATTAAATCATCATAAATAGTTAACTTAATAGCAGTCGAAAATATCTCTAACCATATTAAACTTTATAATTTTAACTACTGACTCTTTATCCATTAGTGTATCTGGATCATTCTTACAGCTAATCTTGGCACCATACAGTAGCAAAATAGTAAACATGTATGCATTCAAAGTTGTGTGTAACTGTGCTGGTTAAAAAACAAAAAAATTAAACTAAACAAACGAAACAAAGTATTAAAAAAAAAACAAGCGCATTTATATGCATTAATGCATACCATCCAATTCTTATGTATTTACATATATAACAGCTACACTTCGATTTTTACATTTATAACACCCAAATCTTTTATATCACATCAAAATATTACAATTTTAACTTTTAAAATTAGAAATATATTTTTTCATGCATAGATAAGGAGGCATGTAAATGTATAAATTGAAGTTTATGTGTTGTATATGTAAATACATAAGAGTTGATTGGTATGCATGTAAATCTTTCAAAAAACAAACATTAAAACTCTGATGACTACTAACCTTCTCTACCAAAGTTAGTTCAGGAGAAAGGTTTTGTGCAACCACTCGCATGAGAACATCTTTTGATCTGAAAAGGTACAGTAGGGCAGTCATCAAAATAAGCTAAGGACTGTTTCAAATAATAAATCTTGGAGTTATTAAAAAGGGCATTTACATACAAACCATCCAATTCCTAGGTATTTACATATCTCACACCTAAACTTTACTTCTTACATTTATACCATCCAAATCTTTCACATCACATAAAAAATCTCACTATTTTAACTTTTAAAAAAAGAAATATACCATTTCATGCATAGGTAAGGTGGCATAAATGTAAAAAATTGATGTTTAGGTGTTAGATAAGGAAATAAATAGGCATTAAGTGGTATGTATGTAAATCTTCCTATTAAAAATTAAATCTGAAAGAGCATACGTAAGAATTCCCTGAGGCTTGCCTCCCGTAACAGCAATCACCGCATTCACTCGAAATTCACGCATCTTTTTGGTGGCAACATAAACAGGGTCAGAAGGAGATACAATTACAAATCTGCCAGTACAGATCATTGAAAGAATCAGTAACGGAAAGGCATTTTCTACATGGGTAATAAATTATTACTTTGGAACTAAATTGACAAAGGTCTAAACAGCTTTAAGATAAATGATTGTACTTGGAGTTCTCCGTGACGATAGTTGACAAAGAAGGCTTAAACATTCTTTCCCGAAGAGTTTCTATGAAAGCAGAAGGAGCTGCAACAAATTGAAAAATAAACTTAATATTAAATAAAAGAGCATTTACTACATATGTACCGCCTAACTCCTATGTATATACATATGCAATGCCTAAAACTTTATTTTTTACATTTTTACCACCCAAGTTTTTCATATCACATAAAAAATACCACCATTTTAACTTTTAAAAAGTGAAATAC